GAAAATTCTTACTTTTTAACCGACTTCAAAAATTCTAAATTTGACCTTTTTTTGTATGTTACACGATTCTACGAAATTGATTGAGTGATTTTCATGATCCTTTTTTTGTTGGAAAGAGGGTGCCTCTGTAGTGGTCTCATTTAAGTTTGAAGAAAATATTCAACCTCAAGCGGTGGCACTTGGAGGAATCCACTTTATTGGATTTCACCCACTTAAAATAAAACTTGGCAAATAGATGCAATTCCATAAACTATACGCTGTTATTTAATTTTTTTTTTACAACGCACACACTTAACATAGCCCCACACCAGGGAAACCCTGTGTCTCCGGTGCCATGGACACACACATAGACAATCACAAATTACATCCAAACTCACGAGAGAAATAAACATAGGCCATACATTTATTTCTCCCGGCCCGGGAATCGAACCTGGGACCTCTGCGTGGCAGTCATGGTAACCGTTCGGCCACGGAACCAGTTATACAAGTATAGAATTAAAAGATTTATTAAACAATAAGAGCTGATAAATAATTTTATTATTATTCTAATGATAGAGAAGAATTTATTTATTTAGGACAACTTAGAAAACTTTCACAACGCACAGGAAACCAATTACTATCGTAACTCCAAATTGGATTTTTTTTTATGATAGATACCAAGTGACAGGACGGACAGTCGTGCGCCTGGTGGAAAGCGACATGCCTGTTTATAACAGTTGCAGTGCGACTCAGGGCTTTAGATCGTAAAAATCTGAGGGACACTCCCACTGCGCCTGTCACCCCGAGACATAAGTTGACAAGTTCCATGTGCTTGTAATTTAACCAGATTATCGGAATTGAGAAGACACGATTTCAAAGTTCAAAAATTACTGAATGAAACCAATGTTTATAAATGGATAACTAAATATTACTTATCGTTGCGTAGCAAACAACACCGTTTAAATAATTTCAAGTAATTTTATAGGAGCGTAAAAACCTATATATATTATTGTATAAAATTACTCATTATGCGGTGTTGTTTGATAAGCGACGTTATGTATAAAAAATATACAGGACCACCTTATTGCGAATAAGATCCATTCAGTACATTTTTTTTTCAAATCGTGTTTTTTCAATTTTGAGTTACGACAGTATATTGTTTCATGTGCGATAAATGGTCAAAACAATAAATATTGTGCCTAGAGTCATTGTGTTGTTACACTAAACAAGCTGCTACGGCATGCGTTTATACACAGGAGTAAGATAAAAATAATTGACTATTTACAAATTTAGTATTGAAGCATAATGCAACATGCGTTTATTATTTACTCTACTTACTTACTAGCAAAAGGGATACATTTAAATAAAATACATATAGCTGCCTCCGTGGCCGAACGGTTACCATGCTGGTCTGCCACGTAGAGGTCCCGGGTTCTATTCCCGGGTCGGGTGAAATATTTGTATGACCTATATTTATTTTTGTCGTGAGTTTGGGTGTAATTTGTGGTGTTCTATGTGTGTGTCCATGGCACCCGAAATACAGGGTTTCCCTAGTGCGGAGCCTATGAGCTTGTGCGTTATTAAAAAAAAATCAATTATGGAATTTGTTGCTTGGAAATTGGCGCTCTCATTTAAATCGTTCATGATTCAAAGTTGATTCTTGGGTCGATATCATAATGAGTATATCTTCAAAATTACGCATAACGACTACATGTGCAGAAATGCTATAACTTGATGACTCTGATCTACAATGACTTGATAGCATCGAGTATATAACCAGAAATAGAGACGAAATAAGGGCATATATTCCTGGTAACACATTAGCGATAGAGCTCTTATGAATATCAACTCCCGTTTATACTGAAATATAGATAGGCCAACTACTGACCTGTGTGTACGTTTCCGTATATTCTAAAATATATTCTGTATTTATTGTAATAAAGATAATATCTCTAACAATGCCGTGATGTTTTATTCGGTGGTGTGGGAAAAACAGCAAAACATCTAATTACAAAACAAACGGAATCACATTTCATCGGTAATTAAATATTAAATAAGTAATTTTAAAATTTTCGTCCATTATAGCAAAGCTCAAGTTAACTGGTCGAATTGAAGTGAAACAGTTGACGACACCCATTGACGACACCCGTCATTTGTTTCGAACTCGGGCTAGCCAATAGGAGCGCAGATGTCACAGTAATGATATGGTAGAATAGTTTTCAAACAAATTAAATGACATTTCGCCTCTATTTCTGGTTAAATATTCGATACTGGATAGCAAAATGATTAGTAATCGAAATGACCATATCGTTGAATGGGCCACATTTTAAAACGACAAGGTACACTTAAGAGCGGTTACACACGGCGATTTTAGCAGCGATGTAAACACGGTGCAAACGCGATGCAGTAGCGAGGCAATCGCTAATCGTCTACCTTTTCACACGTACGCGATTTTACATCGCTGCAAGAAGTCGCCGTCCGTGACCACTCTTAAATCTTATATCATAAAGGCCCTTTGATTTGAAAGGCTTTATGTTTCTATTTTTAAATATAGCAAATTATGTCTAAATAAACATACATTTATGTAAATATTATTGTGGATGTAGGCTAAAGTAGCTTTTTTAATTCTGATTTGTACTTGAAGAATTTAAAAAGAAAGAGGGATAGCTCAGTTTAGACAAGACGAAAAACAGAGATGCTGGAACCAATACTGCCTTCCATCTCATAATTAACGCACCTGTATTTTAGTAACTTCCGATGTATTGGCACCACAAGATATTGTAAACTACGCTGATTTTGTTTAACAATAAAACTGAAACTAAGTGAAATATAAGAAAACCGTTTATAGGGTATTAATACCAGATATGTTAATAACTCAATTTTATTAAAAACGTGGGAATTATGATTACTTTAGTTATTATAAGGACGCCAGAATAGAAAAGATGCAAAATATTCTGCGCTCTGTTTCAACTGTTTTGTATCATCCCTATACATCCCAAGGATGAGCAACAGGTATCCTCTTTGGAATTGGTTTCTCCATAGTTCCCTGAGTGAATTTAGGTTGGGTAATTCAAACATCGTCGAAAACTACGAACTTTTACGAACATTTTTTTATGATACCACGTAACGGAGTGAACAAGTTGTACACTTGGAGGTAAGCGATATGCCTGTACGTAACAATTGCAGTGCACTTAGAGCTTTAGATCGCTAAGATCTGTAAGATACCGCCACTACGCCTTTATTTTCACCAGCACTCTTACCCTTCAAAACTGAAACACAGTAATGCTGACATTACTGTATGGCGGTAGTAATAGGTAAGGTGGCAGTACTTCCCTGAACGAACTTTTCACAAGGTACTCAACTGCTACTAAGTGGGATGTATAAAGGGCCGATCATGACAAAGCATCAGACGGCCAACCTGATGGAATATCGTGATCGCCATTATAGTCTTTGGCAGCAGTTTATGCAAGTTTTAATACGAAGTTTGCAGGCCCAATGCATGGAGTGACACGTGGGCCCCTGCACTGGTCTATGACTTTTACTATAAGAAATCATCAGGGTCCAAAGTCTAAAGTAGAATAAGACTCCACAAATATTATGATAATATTGGTTATTGGACGATCGATGTTACGTTAATAAAACTATCATGGAAATTACTATGCATATTTTAATTATTATCTCGTTTAATAATTTAGTGATCAAATTGAATAAATTTATAATAAAATAAAAGTCGTTGATCGATGTAAGCATTTAAGTAATAAGTAAAAACCATCGAGTATATAACCAGAAATAGAGAAAAGCAAGTCATCAGGTAAATGGGCCTTATATCACTTTTGAATATCAAATCACAAATTAGAAAGCTGTAATAGTACAGCGTCAACAACGGACCTCTGTGTACATCTCAGTATACTCCAAAAACATTCTGTATTTATTATATTATAAATAATATCTCTAACAATGGGGGCTGTTCCATTCGGCGGCGTGGGAAAAACAGCAATACATCTAATTGCAAAACAAACGGAATCACATTTTATCGGTAATTAAATATTGAATATGTAATTTTACAATTTACGCCCATTATAACAAAGCTCAAGTTAAACTGGTCGGGCTGACCAATTGGACCGCAGTTGTCACAGTAATGATTTGGCAAACTAGTTTTCAAACAAATTAAATGTCATTTAGGTTTATATTTCTGGTTATATACTCGATGGTAAAAACCATCGAAAGAAATGTCAAATTATAAGTAGACTACGTAATTTACGTGCCAACGACATGCCATTAAAGAGCACAATAGTCAAAAATTGCAATGGCAGTTGAATAGGAGCTCGATGGCTAGCTGCTTACAAGCCCCTACTCTTGACTTATAGCAGAACATCTATACTCCGTTCATCCATTTATTTAACTTTTGACATATGCATGCCTCCGAAGTTCCGTAATTATTGACATAAGACATAGACAAAAAATGTAATACCTATTGCGTGGACCCTTCTATTTTTTAATTTTAGTGAAGCGAAGCACTCTGTAGCTCAGATATTTATCGAACCAACCGTTTATGTAACGAAGATTATTCAAGTTGATAAATTTTGGTACCTGTCTAATAAATGAAATGAACAAAATTATAAATAATTATAATAAATTTTTATTGTTTATTAAAATGATTAGTGGGATTCTTCTCCATATGAACGGGAGTCATCAGTTGAATCCTCATTAACATTAATTATTAATTCTTGAGTACACAAATTATCAAACGCAACATCACGATCCCAATCAGACAATAATTATCTTTTTTTTTGAACCCGCTCACATTCACGATTTAAACTTCTTCATAAATAGAATCGATTGTTTTAAAAAAATCGAATCGAACACGTATTAGGACATCACTAATTGATTAGAATTCGAGCTGTCAAAAGTTAAATAAATGGTATAACGTACAAAATCCTGCCATTGACATTCTATAGGCACAGAAATGAGACGATTTAAAGTTAGCGGACTTGGAAATCAGTTTGTGTCACCATACTTACGTAACCATCATCGATCTCTGCAGCTTTGAATTTCATTTCGTAATTCTCTTTTGTTCTCAAACTGTTATTTGATACGTAATGTATGCTTTTGCCGTGTTTCTTCATCAGCTTGAAAAATTCCCCTGATCCTGGAAGAGGTTCTCTTGACCATATAACACCTGGAATAAAATAAATGTTTGATTGTTAACATTAAGAACGGACATAATTACATAAAATGAATATTTTTTCTGGACGGACAAGTTTGTTTACAGCGGTAGAACTCCTTATGAAAGAGTTAGTCCAGGGAAGTACTGCCGCCTGACCTATTTCTGCCGCCAAGCAGTAATGTCAGCATTACTGTGTTTCGGTTTTGAAGAGAAAGGGTGCTGGTGAAATTACAGGCACATGAGACATGTCAACTTACGTCTCAGGGTGACAGGCGTAGTTGCGGTACCTTTCAGATCTTAGCTATTTACAACTCTGAGTGGCACTGTAACATAGACCGTGTCGCTTAACACCAGGCGCACTTATTCGCCGTCCCTTGGTCTCATAAAGAAAAAGGTAGCAGTGCCACTCAGAGCTTTAAATCGCACCTTAGTCAATTTGAACGGCACTGTCACTATGAACGTCACTCTGAGATAAAAAGTCGAGAAGTTCCGTATGCCTATAGCTTCAGGTACAAGAACGCATTAAGGATCGTATTACTACTAGGCGGCAGAAATGGGTGTGGTACTATTTTCCTGGACGAACTCTTTCTTAAGGACCTCTGCTACTAACGCTTAGATACGAAGTGGCTATAATACTAACAAAAGTTAAAAATTTTGACAAATCTAAAAATTATACGATTTTTAATTCGGGACTGAATCACGTATAAAACATATTTAAATTACCTCGACGTTTCGGACGTATTGCAACGTCCATGGTCTCGAACGGACTCATGAGACCATGGGCGTTGCAATACGTCCGAAACTAAGAGAGTGTAAGCGGTTGTCACTCGAGAATTCTTCGGTAAATTAAATAAAAGAAAATATTTATATAGGTAGTTTTGTAACAAAAACTCTGGTAACAATTAGGTTTTGCCTACTAAGCCTCTCGAGCAGAGGAACTACAGCCCAAGCCCTCTCTTGTGAGAGGAGGCATGTGCTCAGCACTGGGGCCCTATAACTTTACTTGAATAGCACATCTTTTGTCTTGTCCTGCGTGCCCCTACACCTGCACACGCGAGGACCTCTACAACGCCACTGATAATGCTGTGTCAGTCACCGAGTACTGGTCCTCGCAAATATAACCGTCAGAGTCGACACGCTAGCGTCAAGGAAAAAGGAAAAAAAAGTAATCCTAGTGGATAACTTGTTTCAAAATGTTGCAACATTTTTAAAGCGCTATCTAGCGCCAAGTAGCTCTTATGCTCAAAAGGTTTTAAGGAAAAAGATCAACGTTCTTTCTTTTGTAACAAAAATTGTTTATGTAAAAAATATGACAGGAAATTAATGGGAATAGCGACGAACAAGAGAATTGAGGCTTTGTCGAGCTGTGGGACACAATGGTGAACTAACACGACGAAGGCCAACATTTTCATGAACTTGAAGTCGGTATCTATAAATATTAGTACTATATTAAGTAGTTACACTTAGAACTTGACGCAGGTTATAGCATAAGGTTATTTTTTAATTTGTTTTATTAGTGAGCAAAAGAAATTTAACGACTTTAATAGCAGTAGAACTCTTAGGAAATGAAACTATTTTTCCGGATTTAAATCGCGTATATTTGTTTTTTCAAACAAACCGACGTTTCGGGCCCTTTACAGGTCCCATGGTCACCGTGGACTGAGGTGGTACAGTCGTCAACCAGTTATGTCTAATATTGATGCAAGCCATCCTATTTTTTCACTATAGTTACAATAGTTATTAATTAAATACCTTATTTTTAATTTTACAAAGAAAACATTCCAATTTACGCTATATTAAGTTTTACAAATTATTTTATTGAATGAATTTTTATTAAGTTCAATTTATTTTAATTATTAATAGAAATTAGAATAAACTAAAACATATTAATTAGTACTGCAGTGTTATGTCTGTTTGGGATTTTTCATTACAGGAAATACTGGATCTCAAACTGATGGTACGGAGAAACCATCTTCCCTGTTTAAATTAGGATGTTTTTTTAATTTCAATGGCCTCTCGCAGCATCCTGGGTAGATAACGGACTTCTTTTGCAAGGACCTGGGGTTTGTCAAATTTTATTGAATGTGTAGGTTTATCCATGACATAGTAGAACTCTTGTGAAAAAGTACGTCCAGGGAAGTACTTCCTCCTTACCTATTTCTACCTCCAGACAGTAATATGAGTGTTATTGCGTTTCGGTTTTGAAGGGTATGGGTGCTGAATAAATTATAGGCATATGGGACTTGTCAACTTATGTCTCTGCAACTGCGAACACCTGGCGTACGACTAGTACGTCCCGTCACCTGACATCACAAAAAAAACCGCTATCGAGGTGCCACACTTATAATTTTCGTATGACCCGTGTTTGTTCTGTGAAATATCACGTACCAACGACATAAATTAGCTACTTATTAGGGTAAGGGTGCTGGTGGAATTACAGGCACATGGGTCTTGTCAACTTAGGTCTCAGAGTGACGGGATTGCGACTGTTATGGAAAGGCGTTTTGCTTACCACCAAACTTACGATATGTTCGTCGCAACACTTGCTGTCATAAAAATAAGATAAATTACCTATGTACAACTTGACTAGAATAGGTTTTTTTAGATATCAAGTGACAGGATGAACAAGTCACAGGACTGGTGGTAACGACATGACAGGTCATGATAGTTGCAGTGCTACCCTGAGGTTTAAATCGATATCGATGACGTAAATCTGCGGCTTAAAGATCTAAGGGGCACTACCATAGCACCCGTTCTCTGAGACATAATAGTATATTATATACTAAGGGCGGTAAACAAGGAATTACGGACGAGTCTCTATTAGAACCCCGAAGTCGAAGACTGAGGGCTTTCGGAGTTGAGGTTCGTAATTCCTGTCCCGCCAGTGAAACATACAATGTTTTTCATCACACTTGCATTTATATAGTATGATTGCAAGCAGGTTAACTTAGCTATAATGCTCCAAATAAAACCCTCGGGCATTTTTTCTTCTCCTTACAGCCGTAATCGGTAATGAGGAGAAATGAAAAGTTTGTCCAGGGAAGTACTGCCACCTTACCTATTTTTACCGCTAAGCATTAATGTTAGCATTACTGTGTTCCGGTTTGGAAGGGTAAGGGCGTTGGTGAAATTACAGGCATATGAGACTTGTCAACTTATGTCTCAGGGTGGCGGGCGCAGTGGCGATGCACCTCAGACCCCTAGCGCTTTCTTTTGTTACCGCACAAAGTTATCACCATTGAGAGCGATCTATTTTAATATTTTTATATTGCGTGAAAGTAAAAACTGATGAATTATTGAAAGTTATGGAACAAAAGTCGTTGTATATTATGTTAGTAATATAGTCCTGGGAATTTGATAGTATTTTACAAATAACCCTATATATAGAATACATAAACCATTTGTTCCGTAACAATCGTAGCATAGTTGTTCCGTAATGTATTCAACATATCGCACTGCTAATACAAGAGTGTATTAACTCAAAAAGTGTATTTTTTCAGAATCGATGAAAAACGAATTACTCATTTCCAGCGAATTATTATTAAAATTTATGTATAAGTTAAAGTTTATTTATTACAGACATCTAAACAATTCCCTATTTGCCAAATAAAAGGAAAAATAACTTAATATTTTTTAGAAACTTATTTATTAAGACTGTTTTATCCAGAACTAGTTCGCAAAAAGTTTGTCTCATTTTGTGTTAAATAGATTTGTTTTAATTGTTTCTTATAATATTTTAACGACGGTTTTATTGATAGCAATAATAATATAATCTGGAATTTCACGTGTTTTGAGTTACAACACTGTTATAGTAGTGCGATATTTAAAATAGCCAATTGCAATATTGACATTAAGCTCAATTTACATTGCAGCGAAACGGAATGGAAACGTCAATTTTCGCTGCGCGAGAAGGCGCGCACGGTTCTTGGAATGCTGGAGCATTCCCGCGATTGCGCCTTGTGCTTGTAGCATTTCGTCGACGTTTGACGTCACACTGCGCCTGCGTTCGCGCCACTTCTCACGAATTCGCCAGGCGTCGCCGACAGCAGCTGCGGAATGCACGCGAATGCACCAGCGTCCTTAAGAATTCCGCGGAACATGCGCGACCTGATTTTTGGCTCGAATCTAGTTTGTACGTTACAACAATATCGTTATAAAAATTCGCTTCCATTCCTTTCCGTTACAAAATTGAGTCTTAAGTTTTGAACATGATTGTTACAATGATTTTCAAAGATAAACGTTGCGATTACTACTGTACTGTAGTACTGATATATTTTCATTATCTTCTTTGAGATTTGTAACTATACAAACACACACCCTTATCTGTGTATAAAAAAATGAATGTATGTGTGTGTGTGAGTTCATAATCTTCCGTAAGCATTCCATTCATTGCAATAAAATTTTCAGGTGTTGCTTTCTTACGCGATACAGTTATTATATAATAAAAATCATAATAGTTAAAAATCTCATATCGATGCCTTACTTTTTTAAACTCGTATCTTATGAAGAGTGATTATTCAAGAGATGGCAAAACCATTTATTTTAAATTTCTTATTAAGGGGGTTAATTTGGATGCATTGCTTTGAGAATAGGTAAAAGCCAGTGGGGAAAATCAGCCTGCAAAATTTGTATTGTGATATACAATCCATTTTTTGCATTTCAATAACTTTGTGCTTTAAGATACGAGTTAAGTAAGGCGACGATATACAACATCGTCAAATGATGTCAACGACCTCATTTGACATCATAATATCATCATCAACGACATCATAATAATAATAATAATCAAACGATGGACTTCCTTGTACTATGAGTACCAGAGGACTTCACTCTGGGGCACTTCTTCGAATACCCAGACCAAAACCAGTGTAGAAAAGTTCATTTCCCAATTTGATGCAATCGGGAATCGAACCCGGGACCTCCATAAAGTATAAGCCGTGAGGTCACTGAGGTCGTCAACATAACAGTTCACACACATATCTACATGTATACCTAGTACAGTCGCTACAAATTTTGGATGCCCAATAGTTAAAAATAACATTATAGGATTCAAGGATACAAAAGTACATTTTGATTTTAAAATGAACCACTACGAATGCAAATATTATCGATAAGTTTACCGATTAGACCTGACTAGTTTGAGATTTTTATATATAAGAAATCTAATTACATTATTTTGATAAGGAATATATTGCGAAATGCATTACAATGAGTAATGTACATAACATAAACCCGTGCAAGTAACTGATAGTACATTTGAATTATTCATAATATAGTATATAGGTTATAACGAATACCCAAAAAATACAATAATGCCAAAAAAAAAAATTGTAACACGAGTAAAATGTTACACTCCTCTTTTCGATGTCATTTCTTATCTTTACATCAAAATTTACAAATTAAAAATAAAACAAAATTAAAAAATAAACAATCTTACCATCACAATCCGAAAAGACATGATCGAAAGAATCTAAAAACTTTTTAAACTCCTCCTTATTCATGTTATTAACATTCACCGGTTCCGACATATTGACTAAATTGTAATTCAAAGTCTTTACACACGTGCGTTCCTAACCTAGTTTTGATGGCAACTGCGCTGGCGTCAGTGTGTACGTAAATATAAATGGCGTGTTCCCATTCGACGATAGCGGCGAGACGTATCGATTCATGACTGCTATATAGCCTTGACCTTATACGTCATAAATGTGGTGACGTTATCCTTCTTTCCCAAACGGAATTAATGAGTTTGATTTGGAGTGGTTATGTTATGGTTGTATAGAAGAACCGACGCATTGTATCAATGATGAATAGAATACGGTTTTTATAAAAATATGGAAGAAGTCGTTGAAAAAACCAAATGCAAAGATACGACGCAAGCACATGGAAAAATTCGTGAGGTCCGCTGGT